GACCCAGGCCAACGCGAACCCAGGTCAGTCAGGCCTTGCAGGACCCTGGGAGATCCTGCAGGGTCCTGCTGGATCCTGCACGCTAGCCCGCGTCAGTGCAGCCCTGGCCCTGCAGGATCCTGCCAGATCTGGCGCCCTGGCGGACCCCCGTTTGCATTGACCTGAGTATCGTTTAACCGATCCCCATCCCCGGCGGCGTGGCCTGGGCCCCACTGGCCGAGTTGCGCCTCTAGATGGGGATACAGGCCGTTCGAGGGGCGTATCCCCAACTGGGGGGTAATGTGGTGGGGGTCTTGAAGGGGATGGGGAGGGTGACGGGGTCGGTTAAACGATACGGGGTCCCTGGAAGTCCCGACCCTTTCCCCGGGACCGGTTTTCCGTCCTGAGTCGTTTTTTGATGGCCCTGAGGCCCGGCGAGGGCTCCCCGAGGCCGAGCACTGGCAAACCCCCCCCGTCCTGATTTTTTCCTCGACGCGATCCTGCCTGGGACTCGCCCCCGTCCCGCGAGCACCGTCGGCCACGCGCAGAAGGGGGGTAGGGGGAGGGGGGAAGGCTTCTTAGAAGCACCCCTGCTTCTTGGAGGGCGCGGTCCTTATGTATAGATGTAAGGCCGCCGCCTTCTAAGAAGCAGCCTCCTTCTAAGAAGCCTTCCCGTCCTGATTTCTCCTCGACGCGATCCTGCCTGGCACTGGCCCCAGGAGGAGGAGGAGGAGGAGGCGGAGGAGGAGAAGGAGGAGGAGGAGGAGGAGGGGGAGGAGGAGGAGGAGGAGGAGGGGACGAGGAGAGGAGGGAGGAGGAGGAGGAGGAGGAGGAGGAGGAGGAGGAGGACGGGGAGGAGGAGGAGGAGGAGGAGGAGGAGGCCCCGCGAGCCCCGAGCGCCGCGCGTCGCGGAGAGAGCCCAGCGGCGAGGCCGCAGCCAGCGGCGTGCGGCAGCTGCCGTGCCCCCTCCGTCGCGCGGCCTCGAGCGACCGCCCCCTCGCGGGCCCGAGGCCGACGACAGCGCGCCCCCGGGCTCGGCCAAGAGGGCACGTGCATCTCTCGCCGACGCTCCTCCTCCTCCTCCTCCTCCTCTCCCCCTCCCCCTCTCCCCCTCCCCCTCCTCCTCCTCTCCTCCTCCTCCTCCGCCTCTCTCCTCCTCCTCCTCCTCCTCCTCCTCCTCTTCCTCTCCCCCCCCTCCCCCCCGAGGAGGCCGAGTGGGAGGCGCGCTGCAAGACCCGCGCGGACCCCCCGCGCCGTGCCCTGCCATCGCTCGGACGTGCATTCCCTGTTTTTTTCGGTTTCGTGCGTGGCTTTTTCGCCAAATGATCGAGGATTCTCCTCGATGGTCCTCGCCGAAGAAAAAATGCACACGCCCGAGCGATGCCGAGATCTTGGAAACCTACGAGACCTATGTGGCATCACAGCAGCGATTCGGCCCCTGACTTTCGTCCTGGGCTCGATTCAGTGAAGCGATGAATTTCGGGGTCCTCACGTGGGAAAAACATCACTTCACTAATCTGGGGCCACTGGGGCCTCAGTGGGCCCTGGGGCCCAAAATTAATGACGTGATGGTTTCGGGCCTCGAATGAAATGGTCTTCCAGGAAGAAAAGAAAACAATTCCCGGAATCAAGCGCAGCGCACCAAGTAGTCAACGGGCTGCTCCCCGGAGGAGAAAAAAACAAGTTCCCAGAGCTCTGGTTTAGCAGCCACAGGCTTGCCAGCCTTCGCCCGGCTTCTGAGCATCGATCCCGGGCCCACAGTCGACCCGACCAGAGCCTGACCCCTCCGTGGCCCGAGATCGACGACGGCGCTCCCCATGGTGCGGCCAAGAGGGCACTAAAGGGGCCCAAGGACAACTAGATACAACACAGACGTCCCAGGATTCCCCCTATAGTTCCCCCTATCTTCTGGGTTTTCGTCTTCCCCCCCCCCACTTCACATGTTTTCCCAGATCTTCCCGAGAATCGCCGATTAGTGGTGCCTGTGTGTGTGTTTTCTCCTCGTGAGGCACGTGCATCGATCCTGGGCTCACAGTCGACCCCCCGCACACGAAGGACGCACGACAATGATGCGAGGGCCTTGGAAGGCCATGTCGACACTTTGCGAGCGGGGCGCGGCCAGCGAAAGCGGCCAAGGATGGGCCGCAGGGGAGGGATGCAGGGGCAACTAACCTTGGAAAGTCGCTCATCCTTGCCACGCGGGTTGACTGCACTGCAAGACTGCCACTGGCCAAGGTCGATGCGCGGATGTGCAAAACCCCCGGGGCGCCCAAACGGGTAACAAAGATACGTCGAGGCCCCACGAAGGCAGCCCCCCCGACGTTGCAACGTGGACCCCCTGAGGTCTCGACCCCTTCAGAGGGCCTGTTCGTCCCGAGTCGCTTCCTGACGGTCCTGGGCCAGGCAAGACGTTCCTGGAAACCGAAAATGCGCAAGAAACTTCCCTCTTGACTTTGTTAACGACGCGAGGGGTCGACGAACGACTCCTGGGCCAACCCACGGGTGCGCCCTGGCCAGAATCTCAAGGCAAATCCAGCAGCGGCAGAGGTCCAGCAAGAGCGATGAACGCCCAAAAACCTCAGGCCTCCCTGAGACCGGAAGTCGCAAGGAAAACGTCGTGGAAAAGCATGACTGGAACCCCGGACCCCATCTTTCCACAGCGCTTCTTGAGCAGGGGGCGACTGTCCAGGCATTCCTCTTGCTCTACCGCGGCATTCGACTAGAGCAGAGAAAGAACGCACGAATAACAAAAGCGAGCGTCACATAGTATTGGGTGGGGCTACCGGCAGACCCAGACGCTTCGTCACTGCCTAGCTCTGGATCGATGCGTGAGGTCCTCTCGGTCCGCACGAGGCGGGGCAAGAGCAGCTGGCGTAGACACCCTTCGACGCCAGAACCTCAGGGTTCCAAGCTCGAGCCCCAGGCCTTGGACTTAGGTCGGGCATTTCCTCCTGCAGGCGGATTTTGGACGATAAATAAAACATATTCAAGCATGACAAGAAAAATGCGAATAGGAGACCAATCATCCCCAGACAATTTGTCTGACTATGTTTGACGATTACTCCCATGAAGGGACATGCCCGACTTAACTTTTGGGCCTTGACATTGGCCTTGCAGGGCCGCTGTGGGCGCTCGGCGAGCCGCACAGCTGCTGAAAGAAGCACCCCGCGGAGACAAAGAAAACACCCAAGAGCCAAAGACACACTGCCAGGAGGAGGAGGAGGAGGAGGAGGCGGAGGAGGCGGGAGGGGGAGGAGGCGGGAGGAGGCGGGAGGAAGGCGGCGGGAGAGGAGCGCACAAGGAGGGGCAATCATATGGGGGGACTGGCTCGGGTTTGGGTGACCCAAAAGGGGTCCAGCTGAAAGGGGGTGGTGCAACAGATTTGGGGAGAGTGGATTGCAAATGTACTGCGCCGTGCATTGTATTGCAAGTAATGCGTTGCACGCGAAAATCCAGCAATACACTTGCGCCCCGACATGCACTGCACGCCCCAGATGTGTTGCAACCCCACAAACCTATTGCACCAAGTCTATTGCACCACCCCCTTGTCGCTGGACCCCCTTTCGGGTCAACGATTCGTCGGCGACGGCGGGCCCCCGGGACGCCCGATCTTGTCGGAGGCCCTTCGCTTCTGGGGGGCCTTTGAGGGTCTTCGAGCAACCACGGCGGCATTCGCCTCTCGGGGCTTCGGGCGGGCTTAAGACTTGCCCCTGGAAGGCCCCGGGGGGCACATCGCTGATAGAACGAACGCCGATAGGCCCCCGATGGCGAACCTGCACGCTGCTGCGAAGGGCGGGCGGTCGGGCCCCGATCCGTCCATGCAGTCCCCCCTCCTCCGCCTCCTCCTCCTCCTCCTCCTCCTCCTCCTCCTCCTCCTCCTCCTCCTCCTATCGCTACGCGATCAGGCAGAGTCTCCAGAGTCTCCTCCTCCTCCTCCTCCTCCTTCTCCTCCTCCTCCTCCTCCTCCTCCTCCTCCTCCTCCTCCTCCTCCTCCGGCTGCCCTTCGGGACGATGTGCATGGGCACCCCCGGAACGCTCTCGTCGAGGCGCGGCCGCTGCAATGCACCCATCAGGCCGAGAAGCCGACGAGGACCGACGAAGCAGCCGCAAGCTTTCGGCCTCGAGGCCGTTCGTCCACCCCCGGCGTTTCTCGGATCATAGCTCGGCTCTTCAGCGGACGATCGGGGCGATCTGGGCTCGCCCGGGTCGTTCTCGGCAAGGCGCAGCCGCTGGCAGGCAGCCCGAGGCTGGGAGGCCGCCGAGAAACGGCGAAACGCCAGAGAGTCTCCAAGCTCGAAGCCTTTCGCCCCTTTGACGCTGCCCCTGGCCAGGAATCTGCGATCGATCCCTGGATCTATCCTGGAGCGCGCTCTGGCCAGGCACCCGAGGCGGATCCAGCCAGGGCCGCGACAGCGCCCGCGGAGGGTCCGAGACCTTCCGAGAAGCGAGCCTCGATGTCTTGGATCCCTCGGCGCGGGGACAGCAGGCGACCGCAGCCACCTCGAGGATACGCCCTGGGGGACGCCTTGCGCATGCCAGGACCGTCGGAGCACCAGAAACAACTTCGTAGAGGCAACGCGAACTCCTCCTTCTCTATCCTCCTCCTCCTCCTCCTCCTCCTCCTCCTCCTCCTCCTCCTCCTCCTCCTCCTCCTCCTCCTCCTCCGCCCGAAGGATGTGGCGTTCCAGGACGGCCTAATCGACCACGGCCACAAAACAGACTGCTCTCATGTCGAGGACGGTGGGCTCTCCCCCGAGGGGAGACCCTCCCCAAACATCCACTCGGTCGTGGCCGTGGCTCTTTTTGTTGCGCCCGGGCTCGACACCCCGATCCTCGAACCCCTCGATCCTCGAACCCCTCGGACCTCGAGCCCCTCGAACCCCTCGAACCCCTCGACCCACGATCCCCTCGGCCCTCGAACTCCTCGAGCCCCTGGACCGCTCGACCCTCGGACCCCTCGACCCTCGAACCCCTCGAACCCCTCGAAGCCCCTCGAGCCCCTGCGGCTCGACGCCCCGCGCCTTGCACGCGGGCGTCCAGGTCGGCCACCTCGGCGGCCCCGGCGGCGCGGACCCCGCGCTCGGCCTCGGCCAGGCGGCTCTCCAGCTCCGCCCTCGCGCGCTCGGCCTGCTGCAGCCGCTCCAGCTCCGCCCGGACCTGCGGAGCGCGGCGTCTCTTTGGGGGGCGGTCGCAGGCAGGCCCGCCGCGCCCCACTGCCGCCCAGGGGGAAGGGGCCGGTGGCCTCGCGCCCCTTCGCGCCTCCTCTTCGCGGAGCAGGGGCCGACCGCCCCGGCACATACTTGAAGGGAAACTGGGACACACAAATAAATACACACAAATAAAAAGATTCCCCATATTTTCCTATATTTTCTGGGTTTTTGTCTTCCCCACCACTTCCCATATTTTCCTATATTTTCCTGGGAATCGACGATTAATTGTGTCTGTGTGTTTTTTTCCCCTCCTGAATACGATAGTCCCACCACGAGATGTTCTGAGAGCCCGACAATGCTCCAAGCACAAACACAACGTTCTCAGAACTTAAGCCTCTCTGTGTTAAAGCAGGACAGCCCCGGCCAGAACGTTCGTGGAAACCACAAGAGGTTCTCAGAACACTGTTTGGTAGGGCTACAGGCGAGCCAGGACGCTTAGCCACTGCTTAACTCCGCCCCCCGCGACCACGGCGACGACAGCACCTCCGCAGACGGCGGCGCGGGAAATCAGGGGGGGGCATGTCGATGGAGATGTTTTTCGCTGTCCGGGATGAATGGGGCGACGTCCCGATTATGTCAGCTCCTGACGCTCTTGCTAGCCTGTCGGGGTGTGCCAAGACGTCGCAAGGTAAGAAGGCAGGCTGACCTGGCGCGCTTCCCGAGCTCCAGACAGGGAAACATCGACCGGGACTCGGCGATAGCTCGCCGACGGATCGGCGGTACGGTCGGGAACTGTGTGAAAGGTCGCGGCGCGCTGGCGTTTCGGTCGGTAAATCGGCGATGCGATGGGCGAAAGATGGAGTCTGTGCGACTCCAGTCGTGAGTTTTCGAGATGTTGCGTGTTTTGTTCGCAAGGTCGGATCTCAGGGGCTGTCGTCGTCGTCGTCGTCGTCGTCGTCGTCGTCGTCGTCGTCGTCGTCGTCGTCGTCGTTCTGTCATACGGCCGGGAGCTGCTGCTCAGCGTGCCGCGGCGGCGGCCCCGGCGACACGCTCTGGCCGTGCAAGCGGGCAGCGCGTCGCTTCGCTCCTCGTGGCGGGAGACTGGGGAAAGCTTGAGGCATTGACGCTAAGGGGGACTGGGACGTGGAAGGCGTGCGGCGCCGAAGAGTGGCGGGCCTGACCCAGCGGTGCGACACGCCAAGCCGAAGATCCTGACCGCTGGCCCCAGGTAGCGACTCCGCACGCCCCTGGGAGGGTCGGGGCTATCGGGCCCCTGGCAGCGAGCAGTGGGCGATTGGGGGTCGATGCAGCCCCTGGGATCGTCACACTGGGAAGCGAACAGCTGTACAGGTCACACCGTTCTTCCTGAGGACCTCCCGGTCCTCCCTTCTCCCCCGTCCTGCATACGGTAGCGGTGGTGGAAAATTGGCCCATCAGTGCAGGAGCCGAGCACCATCGCTGCCTCCAACCCGGAGTTCCTCGGGGCCGAAGAAGTCGCCATCCAGTGGCGCGGGAGGTGCGCAGAGTCCTGCGTCGGGGTGGGCATGCTGGGCAGGAAGATGAAGGGGCCCAGGGACACACAAACAAATACACACAAATCAAAAGATTCCCCATATTTGTCCATGTTTTCCGGGTTTTTGTCGACGATTCATTGTGTCTGTGTTTTTTTTTCCTCCTGACACATGTGAATGCGCGAAGATTCTCAATCCGGACTCTGGGGGGGCCGCCGTGAGCCCTTTGGCTACACCCAACTCGGGTCTCCTGCAGCCATTCGGGACGCTCGGGGCCAGCCCCGGAAGCACTCTCGGCAAGGCGCAGCTGGTGGCAGGCGAGCAGTCGCCCTCCTCCTCCTCCTCCTCCTCCTCCTCCTCGCCCTCCTCCTCCTCCTCCTGAGAAGAGGGGCCCGGGCCCGTGGGCGGGCCGCAAGGGTCAGCGGCTCGCCCAGGCCAAGCGCGACTCCCGCAAGGCCAGGCGGGAGGAGGAGGAGGAGGAGGAGGAGGAGGAGGAGGAGGAGGAGGAGGAGGAGGAGGAGGAGGAGGAGGGGATGAGGAGGAGGAGGGGAGGAGGAGGAGGGAGGAGGAGGAGGAGGAGGAGGAGGAGGAGGAGGAGGAGGAGGAGGGAGGAGGAGGAGGAGGAGGAGGAGGAGGAGGAGGAGGAGGAGGAGGAGGAGGGGAGGAGGAGGAGGGAGGGGAGGAGGAGGAGGAGGCGGAGGAGGAGGAGGGAGGAGGAGGAGGAGGAGGAGGAGGAGGAGGAGGAGGCGAGCTACTGCCAGGAGCAGGGGAAGGGCGCGAGCCGGGTGCCGAGGCGGCGGAGGGCGTTCGAGGGGCAGGCCTCGGGCTCGCAGACGAGGAAGGTACAGTCCGGGGCGTTGACCTAGGGAACCCTAAGTAAGGAATGAGGCCCCTTTTTTCCATGAGTTGAGCTTCGAGTTCCTGTCGAAAGCGTAAGGAAAACCTGAGGCAAGCTGTGAAACACTCAAGGAACGCGGAGCCCCTCCCCAACGAAAAGGGTTCCTTCTTCAGGGCCCCGACTGTATCGGACAACTGGCGCTGGGAGTGGAAGGCGGAGAAGAGCTTCTGGAGCTGGCGAAGGGAGTTGAAGCAGTCAGCTTTCCGACGAGTGCGAGCACTTCGATGGCGTACTGGGAACTCAAGACCGCTGTCGACACGCTGGTACAGCCGCCGCCGAAGAGCGAGGGAGGTGGACAACAGCGTGGACCCGCACCACGCCTACCAGGAGACGTCGCCGAGTGGCCGTGAGCTGCGAATGACTGCGCGCGGAGCCACGCCGCGATGATCCCGACCTGGTCGCAGCCGCAGGGGTCAGGCCTGGCCAGGTCAGGAGTCGTTGGGCGGACGACCTCGACGGCAGCTGCCTGGTCATGGAGCCCGCGGGCGACTGCGGGCAGCAGGGCCTGGACGGCCGCGACGCCGAAGCGCATGTGACGTAGCGCGCATGCTGGAGCTCGGTCTCGATGAGACAAACACCTCGGGCAAAGATACCGAAGCCAACATGGACCCGATCACCGAGGAGGGGGTGCGCATGCTGATGCAGGAGCTGCACCTTGACACCTTGGACGGGGAGGATAGGACGGAGGCCTCCGGCGCTTCGTAGAGGTTTGTCAACATTTTCGCGGCCTCGCTTGAGCTCAATGCCACGGCCATGGCAAGCATCAACAAAGACGGGCTCGTGCAGGGGCGAATCGCTTGGACGGGAGATCTGCGCAGTGGCCTCCTGCGCGGGCTGCCGCTGTTGCAGGCCATCGGTGCTCGTCGGCCGCGGGGCCCTTCGCGCCGCCACGGTCGCACTCGTCTCGGAAGAGCTGGGGGCCTCCACCCCGCGGGCCGGATGGGCCGAGGGTTTGAGCCGTGCCGCCCTGGGGCGGGCGGCGGCGGTCTGGGGCCTGGCCACTGCGGGCCAGGCGCGTGGCTCGAAGCCTGCGCAGGAGCGGAGGCGGCCCAAGATTGGGCGAAGCTTGGCTGAGAACGGACGTCCATGCCTCCAAGCCTTCAGCCTCTCCCTGACCTACCAGACCACCCCAACCCAACTCGAAGGCCCCAATTCCCAATTTCGGGTTTGGGGGGGGGGATACGGGCTTCATATGTATTTTTCCATGTTCCCCGACCCCCCTCCCCCAGTGGAAATGGAAGGCAAATCGGGGCCTTCGTTGGGTTGGGGTGGTTTGGTGGGCGGTGACTCCCACCTCCCTCCTGCACTCATCTCGCACATCCTCAAGAAGTGCGAGAATGTCTGGGCGAGGGCCCCCCCCTTTACTTCACGAGAGAGAGAGAGAAAGAAAGAACAAAAAAGGTGCAAGCACAAACTGTCGGAGTTCCGTGCGGATTTCTCGGCTCGGCATCGACACAACGCGACAAGGACATGTCTTTGTTCCGGTGCAAACACAAACTGCTCGTCGACGTTCCAGGCTGATCCACTCACGGATCCAACTCGCCGCTGAATACCCGATGCATTCCGAATGCGTAGCATGGTTTCCCCTCTCCCTGGCGCGCGGATCGCGCTAGGTGCGGCGCCGGATGCGCCCCCAGGGGGCCCCCAGCGCCGCTCCAAGAATGCCGCGCGAGCTCCGGGGATTCATGCCTGTGCAGCTTCCTGTGCCGCGACTCTTGGACGCCTCTGGCTCGGAGGCCCTTGTGGGCATCGCTCGGACGTCCATTCCCTGTGCTTTTCTCGGTTCCGTGCGTGGCTTTAAGAACGCTCGAACCCAACATAACGTCCCGCAGAGAGACGACGGGCGGCAGCGAAAGCGAGGACGACGGCCCTGGCGCCAGAGAGGCAGCGACGGACCAACGAACTCACAAAGAACGTACGCGCAAAGCCACGTACATGAATACGGCCCCCCAGTTCGCGAGGCCAGAATCGTGTTACGAACGTTCGCGCACTGCGTACTTTCGACAGCAACGTGGATTCACGTACATGTGCGTCCTTCTCTTGCTCCTGGCGGACGTCGGCGGCGACGGACGACGACGGCGGCGGAGACGGCGGCGGCGGTGACGGCAGCGGCCAGCAGAGACGCCGGCAATTTCCTCCCAAAGCGGCGACGGCGGCGGCGGCAACGGCGGCGGCAGGCAGAGGTGGCGGCGGCTTCCTCCAACATCCCCGAGGTCATGCGTTTGTCGTAACTTCGGCTCCCAGTGGCCCAATGGCCTCGATCCATTCCCTGGGCCCGTTTTTCATCCTAAGTGGTCCGTTGAGTGTCCCGAGGCCCGGAAATGAAGGGCCCCCAGAGGCCGAAGGAAGCGGAAAGCCCTTAGTCGTGATTTGCAGTATGACTCCATGGGGGTCTGGGCGTCCCCCCCTTGGGCGCTATTTAATGGGGGGCGCAGAATGGGGGGGAGGCATGTACAGTCTTCGGGCCCTGAAGGCCCCCTCTTGGGCCCCGAAGGGCCCCTTTAGGGGCCTTGCAGGGCCCCTTTCCAGAAGCCCTCGCTGCCTTCCCCATTTTTCTTTCGTTGACCCGAAAGGGGGTCCATGCGGAAGGATGGTGCAGTCGGTCTGGGGCAATCGTATTGCAAATCCGCCGATCCGGCGTGTGAGTTTCAAAGACCCTCAGAGATAGCCTGAGCCTCAATTCTTGAGCTTCAGCTCTGCTGGGGGGTGGGTGCCGGGGTGGCCCTGCCGGGGTAAGGGGGGGGTCCGAGCCAATTTTGGTGGCAAAATCGGAGCTCCAGCTCACTCCGGGTCGGCCCCTCGCCCCGGCAAGCTCGAACGCGGGCTCATAAAAAACACAGCGGCCGCCCAGACGGCCCAAGAGGGCCCTGAGTGGCCGAAACATCGCTCCAAGACGCTCAATATATGTTCCTCAGACGGCTCCAGAAGCCTCCAACGTACCCTCCCGACACCTCCTAAGAGTGCCCCAGAGGCTCTCAAGAAGGCCCCAAGTCGGCCCGAGAAGGGCCCAAGAAGGGCCCAAGACTGCCCGGGAGGCCCCCAAGACAGCCCAAACGGGCCCCAGGACGGGCCCAAAAAGCGCCCAAGAGGGCTCAATGACGGCCCCACAAGGGCCCAAGACGGCCCAGGAGGCGCTCAGGAGGTGCCAAAACGGCCCTAGGAGTTCCCAAGAACTACCGAGAGGCTCCAAGTGGCCCTCAAGAGGCCCCCCAAAGGCACCCAAAAGAGCTCCCGAAGGCTTAAACATTACCTCCGACACACCCCCAGGCCTCCAGAATGCCTCCTGCATGCCCCCCAAGAAGCCCAAAAGGCCCCCAAGAGGCTCAACAATCACCTCCAAGACGCCCCCGAGGAGGCCTCGAAGATGTGTCCTAGAGGCCCCTCAAGAAACCCACGCAATGCCTCCAAGCTGTTTCCAAACCACTTACGTTTGAATAAGCGCGCTGGGGCGAAAGCGTCCTTCTGACAGCGGGATCGTCCCGGATCGGCGGCACAGACCGGAGGCCTCTACAATATATTGCGCCTCCTCCTCCTCCTCCTCCTCCACCTCCTCCTCCTCCTCCTCCTCCTCCTCTGCCTCCTCCTCTGCCTCCTCCTTCTCCACATGCTCCTCCTCCTCCTCATCCTTCCCCCCCCTCCTCCACCCTCATCCGCCTCCTACGCCCTTCTTCCACCCCCCACTCCTCCTCATCCTCCTCCTCCGCCTCCCACCCCCCCCCCGCTCGTGTTCATCTTCGTCGTCTTCAGGGTCCGCGGCACCTGCCGTAAGGCCTTCGCAATATATTGCGCCAGGAAATCGTATTGCATTGTATGGCAACTAACGCATTGCACGCGAAAGTCGAGCAACACATGTGCGCACCTGAATGTACTGCACGCCCCAAGCGTACTGGAACCACCAAAATCTGCTGCACCAGATCTACTGCACCACCCCCCTTCAGCTGGTTCCCTTTAGCCTTTAGGGTAAAGCAAATCTCCGCCCCCCATTACCAATCGGTCGGAAGAAGTAGGTAGAACCATGCAGTAGGAAGGCGTTGGAAGCAGTTAGATTGGATGTCCGCCCGCCTCCTGAAGAGGAGGGCAGGGGGAAAATGACTCGACTCTTGAGGTAGGAAGGCGGCTAAAGTAGATTGGGAACTGGGAGCCCCAAAAAACATACTTTCAACGACCGATGGGCACTCCAGATTGCGCAATCAAAAAGGAGGGGGTCTGGACCCTCCAAGACAAGCCATTTCAGACCCCCCCCCGTGGGAGAACCCTCCCACGCATCGTCCCCAGACCCCCCCAGGCCCTCCAAGACAGCCCGGAAGAGACCTCCCCTCGACATGAGACCCCCCTCCCTTTTATTACGACATCTGGGGTGCGCGTCCTCCGCCTTCCCCCCTCGCGCCGCGCCCGGGCCTTCTCCTTCTCCCGGGCCAGCTCGGCCTCCGCCTGGCGGGGCCCCGGCGGAGCCGCATGGGCGAGGGCACGGGGTGCGCAGCCCGGGGCGCCCCCCACCCAAGGAGGCGCGCGGGAGCGCCCATGTGAAGGGGCCCTGGGACACACGAATCCGTAGACACAAATAAAAAGATTCCCCACATTTTCCTATATCTTTATGAGTTTTTGTCTTCCCCCCCACTTGCCATATTTTCCATATTCTTTGAACATCGACGATTGATTGTGTCTGTGTGTTTTTTTCCCTCCTGACCATGCACTCCACGGGGGTGCCGTTAGGGCAAAATTGTGCCACCATGCAAGAGGGGGAGCAGGAGGAGCGCGCGGCCGAAGGAGGACGTCCACGTCGCGGGACGCGGCACGGCGGCATGCCCCGTGCCGTTCGCCGCCCCGATGCGCGGCCGGCTGGCACGGGGCTCCACACGCAGACTGAGCACGCACGTCTGGCGCGACGCGCTCGCCGACACGCGGGCCAACACGTGGAGCCGACGCGCAGCGTGCTCGCACGGACGGCTTGAGCACGGCACGCGTGGCGTCTCCGAACGGGCGCGCCAGCGCAGCTGCGGCCCCAGCGCTTCTGCTTGCTCGCGGCCCTGTTCTTTCATTTTTGGTCGACGCAGCAGGGGGTCCAGCTGAAAGGGGGTGGTGCAACCAATTTGGGGCAATTGGATTGCAAACGTACTGCGCCGCAGAATTGTCTTGCATTGTACTGCAAGTCGTGTGCTGCACGCGAGAATCCAGCAATACATGTGGGGCCCGGAATGTACTGCACGCCCCAGATGTATGGCGATCCCAAAAACCTGCTGCACCAGATCTATCGCACCACCCCCTTGTCGCTGGACCCCCTTTTAGGCTTTTGGGTCAACCCGACTCATCGGCGACGGCGGCCCCCGGGGACGCCCGATCTTGTTGGAGGACCTCCGCTCCTCGGGGGCCTTTTGAGGGTCTTCGAGCAGACCACGGCGGCATTCGCCTCTCGGGGCTCGGGCGGCCGGGACTCGCCACTGGAAGGCACCGGGGAGCAGCTCCTGGACCCCCCGCTGGTGCAGGGAAGCAACTCGGCAGCAGCAGTGCCCCGGACATGCTCGCGGCCTGACAACAAAAAAACAGGGCGGAGGTGTTCTAGAGTTTCGGCCTCGGGGGCCCTTGCCTTTAAAAGACGACTCGGCATGGCAAACTCGCCCTGAGGAAGGGGTCGGGACCTCTGGAGCACCCGTGCAAGCAACCTCAAAACCTCGCGCGTCTGGGGACCGCGAACTTTTCTTTTTAGCTAGGGAAACGAGGCACCTAAATCTGTACCGCGGGACTGGCGCAACCGCCAGACGATCTATTGCTGCTGCCAAGTCTGCGTTGGAACCTACATCAAAACTGGACGAACACACTGTGTGCGCAACCCCGACGGGCCTCCACGCACGGGCCTCGGCCCCCCTCTTCTCGGGGAGCACTTCTTCAAGAGTAAGGCTGGAGGGCGGAGGACTCCTCCTCCTCCTCCTCCTCCTCCTCCTCCTCCTCCTCCTCCTCCTCCTCCTCCTCCTCCTCCTCCTCCTCAAGGCTGGAGGGCGGAGGGGGGGTCACGAGCAGAACACGACGGGCGGTTTCCAGCCACGTGCGGCTTCCAATCATAAAACGGTTCGGGATCACGCGCTCGTTCCTGGAAGAAGTCCAAAGAAGAAGGCGGCGGGCGCCGCTGGCGGAACAGCACGACGTCGGATGTCTGGGCAGAGAGGACGCGGCGTTGGCTGTGGCAGCTGCACAAGTGGCAAAAGTCTCGAGCAGAGCAATACTCCAGATTTCGTAATACAGGGAGGGGGGTCTCACTTCGGGGGGGGTCTCTTCCAAGCTATCTTGGAGGGCCTGGGGGGGTCTGGGGACGATGTTTTGGAGGGTTCTCCCACGGGGGGGGGGTCTGAAATGGCTTGTCTTGGAGGGTCCAGACCCCTCCTTTTTATTACGAAATCTGGAGTACGCACCACGACCACGACGACGACGCCGAAGGCGACGACGACCACAACGAAAATGAGCCCTCCCCCGACGTCGCATTTTTTCGTGACGCGGGTCGCCGGGAGTCTGGGCACATTCTCGGGTCCGTTTGTCATCCCAGATGCGTGTTCTGACCGTCTCGGGGCCCGCCCAGTGCCTCCAGGTGGCGAGGCCGAAAACCGATAGCACCAGGCACAAGATGTGTGTCGTCGCCCCGATCTGGGGGGAGGCGCGCTTGCGACCTGCACCGAAGCGCGGCTTCGGGGGAAGAGGCCCAGTTCACCCTGCGTGGCTTGGCCATGCCCTCCGAGCACCTGCGAGCCCCCCCCCCCACACCCCCGGCCGCAAGGCAGCTGCGAGAACTGCTCATCCAGACCCCAAGGCGGAGCTCCCTTGCCGCGCCGCACGGCTGCTCCCAAGCCCCCCGCCCCCGCCCCCGCCCGGAACGGCAGCCACACGCTCCAGGCCTGCACCCTCATGCCTTCAGAGCCCGCAGAGAAGGAGGCGAGGATGAGGGTGTGGGGGAGGGAGGATCGAGGATCGAGGATGCGGGAGGAGGAGGAGGAGGAGGAGGAGGAGGAGGAGGAGGAGGAGGAGGAGACTCGCCCGAAGAGGGAGGGACAGGGGCGGGCTGGCAGGCACAAGCAGAGAGAGAGAGAGAGAGAGAGAGGAGCGAGAGAGGAATAGAAGGGCGTCCCGCCCCCCACCGCGTGATATCGCAGGCTGTACGGGTGCAGGACACGCAGCACAAGCAAACGAGGCCCGTGTCGGGAGGGGAGGGGAGGGAGGGGGGGGGGGTAGGGGGAAGGGGGGAGGAGGAGGAGGTAGGGGAGGGGAGGGATGTAGGAGGGTAGGGGGGGAGGAGGTGGGGGAGGTAGGGGGAGGAGGGAGGTAGGGGGAGGAGGGGGGGGGAGGGGAGGTAGGGGAGGAGGGAGGGAGGGGGAGGTAGGGATTTGAGACACCACGGGCGAGACACTCGTGGCGCGAGCGCGGCAATAGGAGGCAGGAGGAGGATCGCCAAGTTTGGGGGCATGTGGGCTTCTGGAGGCCTCCGACGGCCCGGACAGAGCCGCAGACTCCGGCAGAGTGGCGGACTCAGTATTCGACCCCTAGCGCATTCTCCCCACACGTGCAAAGCTACACAAACACCAGGACTCCCCATAGCTTTACATATTTCCTGGATGCTCCTCGTCCCCTCCCTTACCCATAGTCTCGAGAACGTCCATGGAAGTCAGCATTGATTTGTGCCTGCGTCTATCTTTCCCACCCGATCCACTTCGGCCCGTGATGGCAGTTCCCCCACGTTGGCGGCGACCCCCTCAGCTGCAGGCCCCGCCCTGTCTGGGCATCGCTCGGACGTCCATGCCCTGTGCTTAGTTGGTTTCGTGCGTGGATTTTCTCTGCCGAATGATCAAGGGTGCTCCTCGATGGTCCTCGCCGAAGGAAAACCGCACACGTCGGAGGAGGGGGAGGACGAGGGGAAGGGGGAGGAGGAGGAGGATGGGGAGGAGGAAGGGGAGGGGGAAGGGAAGGAGGGAGGAGGAGGAGGAGGAGGAGGGGAGGAGGAGGAGGAGGAGGAGATGCCACGCTGTGCAAGCCGGAGGCACCGTGTGCTCCAGCGGCCTGGGTCAGCGGGGCGCCCCCCTCTCTGGCAGCCAGGGGCCGCCGGAGCTCGGGCGTCGAGTCTAGGCATCCACGGCCCGAGCCCATCGACCCGCGATGTCTGTGCGCCCGAGGAGTCCTTGATGGTCCCGTGGGGTCCGCAGCGACTCCATCCTCCTCCTCCTTCTCCTCCTCCTCCTCCTCCTCCTCTCCTCCTCCTCCTCCTCCTGCTCCGCTCCTCCTCCTCCTCCTCACTCCTCCCCCTCCTGCTCCCCCTCCTCCTCCTCCTCCTCCTCCTCCTCCTCCTCCTCCTCCTCCTCCTCCTCTCCTCCTCCTCCTCCTCCCCCCCTCCTCCTGCTCCTGCTCCTCCTCCTCCTCCTCCTCCTCCTCCTCCTCCTCCTCCTCCTCCTCCAGATCACCGTCGGATTAACTCCCGATTTGAGCAGGGGCCGACCGTCCTGCATTCCCAGAGGCCTACCGCGGCATGTTCTCAGAACCCCAAAAAGGTTCCAAGACCAGCAACGGTGTTCTTAGGACATACGTAAACCCGATGTGTCCAAACAAGGAAGACAGAGTCAGCCAGAACTGTTCTAAGAACATGTGGTGCACACCACAGAAAGATCTTAGAACATGCGTTAGTGGGGCTATACGCAAGTCAGGACGCTTCGCCACTGCTTGACCGATAGCTTGTCGCTGGAGGGTTGTCGGGTGAAAAAAAAACACTGGAGGGCTCCGGCAGGGAAGACGGAGAGCCTTGGAACACCGCACAAGATCGCTTCCTCTGGCAGCCGTTTCTCTGGAGATGCCCTCACATTTTGTTCAGGAACCGTGCTCTCGCCTCAGTGCTGGCCTCAACAGAAACTATCCTCCTCCTCCTCCTCCTCCTCCTCCTCCTCCTCCTCCTCCTCCTCCTCTTCCTCCGCCTCCTCCTCCTCCTGCTCCTCCTCCTCCTCCTCCTCTTCCTCCTCCTCCTCCTCCTCCTCCTCTTCAAACTTTGTTCAGGAAACGTGCTCTCGCCTCAGTGCTGGCCCGACTCCTGACCTTTGCTGCTATCAGGGCGCTCCGCTGGGGCAACTCTTCATGCCCGTGGGCCCCAGAGCTCTTGACTCCCCCCCCGGGGCTGGCATCCCACGCGATCTCCTTGTGGCCCTGACCCCAGAGGCAGGCCACGCTAAGGATGAGGCCGTACAATCGGCCTTGGGCCAGAAGAACCTCCCTCAAGAACATGAGACCCTCCGCCGGCCAAAACACACAGAACATCCAAGGGTGCCCCCCGCAGGGTGCACAAGAGCATCCAGTAAGCACGAAGAACACTAGGGTACCCTCCCCCAGCTGGCCTCGATCTTCTACCTCGGTCCGACTGTAGGAGAAACGCCAGGGATCAGAACAGGTCGGAGCGTTCGAAGGTCCCATGAGGTCCCCACGGGAGCCCCCGCAGGCCCCAACGACTGAAAACCACCTCCCGACCCTCCCCGCCGCCGTCGTCGCGTCGCCGTCGTCGCCGCCGCCGCCGCCGCCGTCGTTGCGAGGGAGCGCTCTCGTCGTCGCAGTCGTCGCCGCCGCCGCCGACGTCGTCGCCGCCGGAGCATCGTCTTCGTGAGGGGGGAATGGCCGGGAGGGACCTGCGCCGCCCTCTCGCTCGCGGCGCTGCCGTGGTCCCTGGAGGCCGCGACCTCGCTCTCCCGCGCGCGCGGGAGGGCCGGCCCGGTCGGGCACGGTCTCGAGGGGGTGGTGGGCTTGTCTTCCACCGCCACCACCACAAGTAGGAGGCTGAGGGGGTCCTCCTCCTCCTCCTTCTCCTCCTCCTCCTCCTTCTCCTCCACCTCCTTCTCCCCTCCAACGTATGATGGTGGTGGTGGAAAACAGGCCCATCAAGGGGGGCCCAGCCCTACCCAGACGTGCTCGCGCCGTGGCAGAAGGAGCACGACGGGAGGTCTTTGGCCGGTTTCGGCCCCGCTGGGGCCCTCGCTGGGCCCATGGGACGAGGAAGGCCCAGGCATGCGACGTCCTGACTTTTTCAGGACGGCGCGCTCGAAGTCCAGGCCCTTTCCCCAGGGCCGGCTTTTCATTCTGAGTCGTTTTTCGACGGTGCCGGGGCCCAGCCGGGGTCTCCCATGGCCGCAAATAATAAAAAAACTTGCCGTCCTGATTTTTTTACGGCGCGACCATGTCTGGGAACACGGCTCGGGAGGAGCCCCTGGGGAAAGGGGTCGGGATTCCTGGGGACCACGCACTGGAAGACATCCTCCCTCCTCCATACTCCGCCCTCCTCCGCCCTCCTTCGCCCTCCTCCTTCTCCTCCTCCTCCTCCTCCTCCTCCTCCTCCTCCTCCTCCTCCGCCCTCCCTCCTCCTCCTCCGACCTCCTCCTCCGCCCTCCTCCACCCTCCCCCGCCCTCCTCCTCCTCCTCCTCCTCCTCCTCCTCCTCCTCATCCTCCTCCTCCTCTCTCCTCCTTCCTCCTGCGCCTCCTCCGCCCCTCCCTCCTCCTCATCCGCCCTCCTCCTCCGCCCTCCTTCCGCCCCTCCTCCTTCCGCCTCACCTCCTCCTCCCATCCTCCTCCTCCTCCTCCTCCTCCTCCTCTGCCCTCCTCCTCCTCCTCCGCCCCTTCCTCCGCCCCTCCTCCGCCCTCCCTGCCTCTCCCCCTCCTCCTCCTCCTCCCTCCTCCTCCTCCTCCTCCTCCTCCTCCTCCTCCTCCGTCCTCCTCCTCCGCCCTCCTCCTCCTCCTCCGCCCTCCTCCTCCGCCCTCCTCCTCCTCCGCCGTCCTCCGTCTGGCGGTCCAGCGCGCGGCCCACGCGCACCCGTCGCGGGCCCCGCCCCTCCCCGCAGGAGCCCACCAGGTGGCCTCTCACCCAGGGGCCAAGGCCGGGGAGAGGAGGGGAGGAGAGAGGAGCACGGGCGGGGGGGTGGAGGGGCAAGAGGCGCAGGAGGAAGGAGGAGGAGGAGGAGGAGGAGGAGGAGGAGGAGGAGGAGGAGGAGGAGGAGGAGGAGGAGGAGGAGGGCGGAGGAGGGCGGAGGAGGGCGGAGGAGGGAGGAGGATGGAGGAGAAGGGAGGGAGGATGTCTTCCAGTGCGTGGTCCCCGGGAATCCCGACCCCTTTCCCCAGGGGCGGTTCCTCCTCCCGAGCCGTGTCCCCAGACATGATCGCGTCGTAATAAAATCAGAGCGGCAAGTTTTTGGCTATTTTCGGCCCCGGGGGACCCTCGCAGGGGCCCGGCACCGTCGAAAAATGACTCATGATGGAGAACTGGCCCCGGGGAACTGCTCTGGACTTCCGGGGGCGCCGTCCTGAAAAAGTCAGGACGTCACATGTCTGGGGGAAGGAGGGTGAGGGAGGGGAGGAAGTACGTGACGCATTCCATCCAGGCTGTGTCTTCGGTGGCCAGTTTGAGCCAGTCGGTTTTGTTCAAGTCGTAGTTGTTTTGGGCAGTCCACGTTTGCACGCCGTTGGAGAAAAAGGACATCACGTATGTCGTCATCCCATCGCTGCTGTTGCCCTCCCCAAACTCCTGTGCCCCTTCTGAGACGAATTTATACTAGGGTGCCAGTCCAGTGAGACCATTCTTGAGGTGGCTGCTTCGCGACCCTTGCGGCGCATCTCCACTCTAGCTGCTTCGTCACTCTTGAGACTCACGACTCTCTTGCTTCGCGACTCTTGCGACGCTTGCGATGTGAGCCTGGGTGTGAGCGAGTCTGAGTGCGAGTGAGTCTGAAAATGAACGAGTCTGAGTGTGAGTGAGCCAGGTGAGACCGAATGCGAGTCTGAGCGCAGGCGGGTCTGGGCACGAAAGGTGGGAGGGCGAAGCCGGGAGTGAGGGCGAGGCGGAGGAGGTTCCACTACCAAGAAGCTGGAAACAAACATGGCTGGACTAACAGGTGGAACGTCCAAAGGCCTTGTGCTGAGGAGGAGGAGGAGGAGGAGGAGGAGGAGGAGGAGGAGGAGGAGGAAGTGGATACACATGTGGAGGACAAACGCGCTTTGCCAAACGAGAGCCGGGCGCTGGAGAGAGATGTGTGGCCACGCGTGCATATAGCACTCGCCCAGGCCAACCACGTCATGTGTACTCCAGATTTCGTACTAAAGGGAGGGGGTCTGGACCCTCCAAGACAAGCCATTTCAGACCTCCCCCGTGGGAGAACCCTCCAAAACATCGTCCCCAGACCCCCCAGGCCCTCCAAGATCGCCTGGAAGAGACCCCCCCGAAATGAGACCCCCCTCCCTTTTATTACGAAATCTGGAGTATCCAGCTTCCCCGCAGTGGCAGTGGCCCCAGCTAGGATATGGGAAACATTGGAGCAGAGCAGAAACGGCCGGCCCAACAGTAGTACAATCACAAGTAGCATCAATGATGCGCGGTGAGGATGCAAGGGCCCTGGACGCCCATGCCGACACTTTTCGAGCGGGACTGACCATCGAAAGAGGTTAAGGAAGGACCGAAGAGGCACGGATGCAAGGGTAACCTTTTGAAGCTTGCCCATCCATACTGTCGATTTCAACTGTACTGAGAAGAGGAGGAGAAGGAGAATGAGTTTGGGTGTCGAAGAAAATCAAGGTGCCTAATGGCAAGACTGGGTGCTGGAAGCGCAGAAAGTCACAGCCCTCGGAGAAAGGGGGGGAAGAGGAGGGTGGAGGAAGAGGGAGACGGCGAAGGATGAGGACCATGATGAAAAAGGAGAGCCCTGATATTCGACATTGCGCCAACATTCAACATCGCAAACACAACACAGGACCAGAGCCCCGGACCCAACCGTTTCTCCGGCATTCCTCGAAATGAATCGGCTTGTGATGGTCACTGAATCCGAACACAGGCGAAAACGCACGGTGTGAAAAAATGCAGCACCCGGATCCCGGGGAGGGAGGTAGAGGAGGAGGAGGAGGAGGAGGAGGAGAAAGAGGGGGAGGAGGGGGTTGATGAGGAGGAGGTGGAGGAGGAAGAAAAGTTGCAACAACTTCGGCGAACGCGTTTGTTCCTAGCTCAGTGTGCAGTCGGGTCGACGCTCAGCGCCAAACTAAGTCACGACAGCACTGCAGGCTGATGCGATCGCATGGGCCGTTGACGGGGCAGCAGACTCTTCATTGTAGTGGAGGTACAGCAGGCGAGCGTCACGCGTTGCTTGGAGTTCCTTGGAGTGGAAGGCGGTCCAGCACCTGGGAAAGCTCTACGGGCGAGAGTGGTTTCCGAAAAGCCCTGGCCATGAGACGCTTCCACAGAGCGGCACTGGATGGCGAATTGAAAGCGGCACTGCGGAACGCCAGCGCCATGGCGCGCTGTACTTTAGGACGGCGAAGCGGCTCCGCCGCCGGGGTTTCGCAGATTTCCCAACGGGCAGCGCGGCTCGCCGCGGCCGCGGCTGCTGCTCGAAGAGTGTGAAACAATGGGTACTCTTCCCATGCGGTGCCACACAACTGGGCATCGCTCGGACGTCCATTCCCTGTGTTGTTTTCGGTTTCGTGCGTGGCTTCTTCGCCACATGATCAAGGATGCTCCTCGATGGTCCTCGCCGGAGGAAAAATGCACACGTCCGAGCGATGCCAAGACTCCGCCATTGCAATGAAATCGAATTTGCGGAAAGAGTTCGGCGGCGCGCAAAGCACTGCGTGGAAGATATGCAGCTCGCCGTTCTTCGGCGGGGAAAACATTGAACAGCACAGTTGAACGCTGGCAGGGCCGACGCGTTGGATGAGCGCGCTGTGGCGTCGCTGCCGCCTTGCGCCAGCTCCAGAAGATTCCCCCTGCGCCACCAGCTGTGCCGATGGGGCGAGCCACTGACGAGCGAGGGGGGGCGCGGGGCCCAAGGAAGGCCCCGACGTACGTGGCTCGCCACGCAAAACGGAAACCGTCCCCACGGGGGGCGAACAGCGGCCAGGAGGGTCCGTTTGGGTGCTGGCAAAGGTGGCCGGTCTCGCGTCGGCCCAGAGCGGGACGACCACCCACTCGCGCGGCCCGAGCGAGAGGAGCGCCAGCTCCTGAGCAGCTGCGAAGGGCTCAGAAGCACAGCGCACCGCGTCGAACGAGTACGCCAAGAGCCAGAGGTGGCGCCACTGGCGCTCCCAACGAAGGATGCGACGTGGCGGGTGGGCGAGCCCATCACGATGGACCACGCAGAACACCCTTCGCTGGGCAGCCCTGCGCGGCGACGAAGCCGCGCGACGCGCAGTGCATGGCGCGGATGAGATTGAGGAGACCAGCGGGGACTCCGAAGCGTTCCGCCGCAGCAGTTAGCTCGGCTCTGCTTGGAGACGGGAGTGCCGCAGAAAAGTCGAAGCCGGCAAAGACGGGCACGGACCAGCCCTGCACGGCGCACCTCGGCGACGAGGCGGGCGAAGTTCCTGGTGAAATTGTGCCCCGCGGCGAGACCCTGCCGCGCGGCGCGGGCGCGGTTGGCGACGGCGGACTCCAATATAAATCGGCAGCCCGGGCATTGGCTCAGATGTCAGTGATTTTGAGCGAAGGAGGACGCGTACCCCCAGGGGCTCGATCCCCGGCGATCTCGCCCGCGAGGCCGTCGCCCTCCGGCAGGGCGAAGTCGCAGTCGTCGAGGCCCCGTGGGCAAGAGTGGCCGGAGCGGAGGTGGAACGAGAAATCCTCGAGGACGTGCAGCGACGCATCGCGCGCCAGCCACGAGGAGCACGGCATGCAATCGGGGCCAGGCGCCGACTGCGTGGCGCGCCCGA